GCTTGTTGTGCTCCTCGTTCATCTTCTCCCGCTGGCGGGCCTGCAATGGCAAACGGCGACCCACCACGTCAGATCCCACAGATCTGCTCCTCCTGCCCCGAGGGGCTCAGTGCCCTCCTGCCATCCCAGGTCTGGCCCGATTCACCAGGCCCAGCTTGTGGGGACAAATCCACCCCTTCCAGGACAGATCGGACCCTTGGCTGGGGCTCTGCTGGGCTCTGCCATTTCCCAGCCAGGGATGAACAGGAGAGAGGACAGGATTCAAAGAAATCCTGCCTGCCTGACCCTCAAGATAGCTTCACCTGTGCATCTGCCAGGGTCACCCACACTGGGGGCACATTCCAGACCCCAAGGGGTGTCGATCCTCTGGATATGCAAAGGTGTCTCCAAATGTCTGCCCTAGGTCAAAACAACCAGGGCCTTCCCCAGGGCCACATGCTGTAATGCCACCTGGGCCACCAGAGAAATGGGCATCACAACCTCCTGCGTGGACAGCCCAGCCACTGGCTAAGGAACACAGCAGGGATGGTGCAGCCCATGACACATTAGCTGGGCCTCCCCGTCTTTTTGAGGGGCAGCACCCTTTGCTCCCAGCACCCATCAGTCTTGCCCTGCTGCTGATCCAATCTTGGGATTGGAGGCTGCTGGAGCCTCCCCTTCCACCCTGCTTTTGGGGTCCCAGCTTGCCCCAGGGGCTGGTGCTGGGCGAGGAGTGGATGTGGCACACTAACAGCAAGACTTGGATGCCTGGGAGAAGGTGAAATCACAACAGAGAGGGTCATGAGCTCCTGTGTGCTCTAGTTTAAGAGATCCTGGCTGGGAAAGGATTAACCAGGCTCCTCTCCCCATCCTGTTTCAGAGGTAACAGCAAGCCAGCCCTTTGTGGTGTGCCCAGGTACCCAGTCACCAAGGGAGGGAGGAGCTGAGGCCGGATCAGGACCCATAAAGACTCCCCCATTCAAGCTGAGCAACGCTTACCCTGGCCAGCTCCTGGTTCTTCTCCTCCAGCTGACTCTCCAGCTGCCGGAGATGCTCCTCGATGCTCCCGTGCCTCTCTTCTGCCTGGGAAAAGCAGAGCAGCCCTCTCGGATGACGTTCCCCAAAACCATGCGGGTCCCCCCGCATCCATCCCTCCTCCCTCCATCCCTGCAGCCATACCCTTCCCTGGGATGCGGTGCTCTCTCCCCCTTCCTGCATCCCTGCCATGGTTCACTGTGCGCTGTGATCCCAAACCAGCCCTGCTAGCAAGGTGGTGGGAGATGGAGGTGCTCTGTGAGCGACTAGGCACCCATTCCAGCACCCAGGAAGGGAAGGGTTGGCTGTATCCACACCTCCCTCCAAGTCTGCACCCTCCCAGATCCAGCCCGGATCCTTCCTCTTCCTCCTCAGCCCAGAGTGGTCCCAACATAAGCTGAAGGCCATCCACATCCACAGGGCCATCTCTGCCTTGGAGAAAGGAGCCGAAGGAAGGGAGTAAACCCCATGCACGGAGGACATGTCAAGAGCTTTAAAAACGGTGCTTTGTCCCTGCAGCCATGGGGAAGGCAGAGTACAGCAAAGCTCAGAGCCTGCCAGGAGCTCCATCGCTGCAGGGAGGTGGCCAGACCTGCCTCTTCCTCTGGTTCCTGCCTCTTCCTCTGGTTCTGCTCTCCCTTCTCGCTCTGGTCCCCGACCACCCCGCACACTTGCCTTGGTGAGTGCGGCGATGCGTTGAGCCAGCTCCGCTTCCACCTCGGGCAGCGTCTCTGCCTTCCGCATTGTCTGCTGCAGTTTCTGCTCCGCCAGCTCCAGCAGCTCCTGCAGGTGCCGGGCTTTCTCCTCGCACTGCAGGACAGGGCAGGATGGATGCCCAGCACCAAGGCTTGCCTGTTTGTCCTATCCCCAGCACCCACTTCTCCCTCCCAAGTCCCCAGGGTGGTGGGGAGTCTTTGGGTCCAGCTCTGGTACCTGGCGATGCAGGGACTCCTTGTTGGCCAATTCACTTTCCAGCTTGTCGTTGAGGTCATGGATGGAGGTGGCTTCTCGCTGGGCTGCCAGGTAGCGTTTCTCCAGCGTGGTGATCCTCTCCTCCATGTCCTCTTTCTGAGCCAGGGCCTGGGGAAGTGATGGGCTTGTCACATCCTGATCTGTGACCACCAATTTGGGAATATCCTGTGACCTTGGGACACCCCCGAGTCCAAGCATGCACCGAAACCCCTGCTTCACATGGGGATGGGGGACAGCAGAGTGAGAGAACGATAAAGGGAGAGTCAAGCAATCACAGAAAAACTTTCTAGCTTGGATACAGCTCACTGCCCCAGGCCTGCAGCACACCTGGGTATCTCGGTGTCTGCTTATAACCTCAGTCCTGCTGATGGAGTTGGGGACAATCTCCCAAAGGCAGCGGCCTCTTTTGGGGAACACATGCCTTCACCCCACATACAATAGGAGTTACAATCCCCTCCCAGCCCAGAGCACGTGGAACCTGCCGTGAACATCTCTGCAACTGCAACAGGCTTGGCAGTGCGAGAGGGCAGCGTCTAACCTCTCGGAGATCCCTCTGGTACTTGCTGCTCATCTCCTCCGATTTGATCAGATCCTTCCTGGCGGTGCCCAGATCCTCCTCCAGCTCGGCGACGCTGGCAGCCAACGCAGAGATGCGCTCCTTGGCCTGGACCACTTCGAAATTCTGCTTCTCCAGAAGCTCCTGCAGCTCCACCACCCGTCCTGCCTCATCATCCGGGTGGACGGAGCCGTTGGAGAGTCGCTGCAAGGCAGCAGAGAAGGAGGTAGATGCCGGGCTGCCCCAAAGCATGGGCTGGCATTGTCTGCAGCTACGCAATGGGGGAACACGGCCCTGTAGGGACCCAGTGAGGTGTGGGGGGGTAGAGATAGGGGGCTCTGGGACCCCCTGTCAACAGCCTCCGCTAGCCAGGATGTGGCTTCTCACAGGCACAATGGAATAAGGATGGCTGAGGGCTTCCTAGAGCATCTCTGGGGAGAAGCGCCCCTAGGAGCATCCGAGCAGGAGAACAAATTCCCCTCTGCTCTGAAAGCACCTGTATCCACCGGGAAGGGCATTTCCCAGGGGGTTGGACCCCAGGAGAGAGGGAAAAAAGGTTTTTAGCACCCTGAAGCCAGCAACAAGGGGGTTGAAGAAACGATGGCCTTGGTGAGCGTGGTCAGAGCAGGGGTTTCTTGGGCTCTCACCTTCCAGGGAAGCTTCTGGGCTGGCTCCTTGGGCTCCCTCTCATCACGCTCCCCTGCCGGGGTCTCCCGTGCAGTGCCTTGCTGCAGAGTTGCCACCTGCAGAACAACAGAGCTTAATTAATGAGAGAAAGTAGATGAGATGAGCTGGTCCGGCTGTGGGGGAAGCCCAGCCTCAGACTCAGGTCTGCAACCAGCTTCCTCCACCGTCAGATTCAGCTCGTGCCTATGGCTGGGGGGGAACTGGGGGTATAGGGTGAAGAAGAGGGGGGAAGGCAGAGATGCTGCGAAGGCTCAGCTCTGATGGAGGATGAAGTCTGTCTGTCTTGCACGGACAGAGCGGTGCTTCCTACAGGCATGCAAAGAGCCTGAGCCTTAGCAGGAAGGTTTTCCTTGGGGACCTGAGCCCTGCATCCCAGGACTCCCTCCCAGCCCATTTCACTCCTCTGCAGCCAGGCAGACTCCAAACCTGGCACGGACATAGTCAGCAGGAGCAGGGAATAAACACCGACATCGCACCCTGCCTTGCTGGGGGAGGATGGGGAAAGGTCCCTGCAAGGTGCTCAGCCTGGGGCAGTACCCCAAGACACAGCCTGGGAATGGGAAAGAGGAACAAAATTTGGCCAGGCAGAGGCTATAAGGCCGGCTCTTTCCTTTCGGCTGTAGTGGCTGGGCACAAACTTCAGGAAGGAAAAGAGGGTAAAGATCTCTCCAAGACAAAAAGGGCTAGCTGTTGGGGACAGCGAAGTCCCCAGGCCAGGGTCTTTGCAAGGAAGGAGATGGGGGATGCAAGATGAGGTGCTCAGAGCAGTGAGGTTTGGGTCTCTGCCAAGGTAGGGAAAATCCCAAATCATTCTCAGCCCCCTGAAATGATTCAAGCCCAGGTTGCTTTTGTCACTGAAATGAACACCAAACAGCAAAACAACAGAGGAAACCTTGCCGGCGAGACAAATGTTTTCAGAATATTTACAAGGTTTCCTTAAATACAGCAAATTCAACATGAATTCACTAACGTCACACAGAGCAGTCCCAGCCCAGCAGATGCCCTGGCAAGGACCCAGGGTAGCCTGCCCAAAGAAATACGTCTTACCTGCCGATGGGCATCCACGAGCTGCTCCTCCAAGGTTGCCACTCGCTCTAAGGCTGCTCGCAAGCGTTCCCTGACCTGCAGTCGCGTAAGACAACGGGAAAGGCCATTATTTATCCGTGATGAGGGTGCCCAGGATCTAGGCAAGCTCCCAGGCCCTTTTGTCTGGCCCAGGCTCAGGTGGGTTCACAGCCAGGGCACAGGCTCAGGGATGCTCCAGCCCATCGCCTGGGAGAGCGAAAGTATGTCGGAGAGGAACAGCCTGGGCCGAGCTGACCCTTGGAGACCTATGGCCAGGACAGCTTGAAGATGTCTCTTAGCAGAGGATGCTTGAGGCAAATGAATCAGGAGGAACAACAAGAGTCGGAATGCAAAGATTGAACCAGGGTGCCAAACTCCAGTGCCCACCGCCACGTGAGTGACCTAGGGAAGCAAGTTCCCCATCACCGACAGCCTCAAACCCTCAGCATTCACTTGGTAGCCCCACCAGCTCCTAAAATGAGGGTGCTGCAGCTTTTGGATATCCAAGACCTTCCTCCTGAGGGACCCCACGTCACCACCCAGCTTAACAACAAAAAAATGGCATCCAGTGGGAGGGAGGAGGAGGGCTGGGAGAAGGTCAGCTCTGAGAAGGGGATGCTCATGGAGCAAGCCGGGAGAGGTCCCAGCAGCCTGTCTCACCTTTTCATCTAGCGCCTTGTGATGCTCAAAGAGTGACTTGAGTGCCTTGAGCACCTCGACCTCACTGGAAACCCCGGACGGCGACTGGGCCTGACGCTTGACCACGGTCATCCTCAGGGACCGCTCATGCCTCGACACCAGGCACTCCAGGTGCTCCAGCAAGAGCTGCAAGAGGGCAAGCGTGAGGCTCTCACCACCCCGGGGGCTGTCAATGCCGATATCGGCCCCGCAGCCTGGGGTGTCCCACATTTCTGAGGACTGAAAGCCAGACAGCAGGTTTTATATGCTTACCCGGGTGTTATTGCGCTCGGCTTTCAGCTCCGAGATCTCCTCTTCCCTCTCCAGGAGCTGCTCCCGGCACGCACTAAGCTCCCGTGTCAGCGTTGCAAACTCCTGCAGAAATCAGGGCACGACTGTGAGCGGGGAGAGTAGGATGGAGACAGAGCCAACATCCCGGCCCCGCTGCCGGGACCTCCAGCGTAGAGCATCTCCCATCCGAATCCGACCAGCGAGAGACGCTGACACCAAGGGAAACATTGAGAAATCGGTGGAGAAGCACAGCCAGGCTGGGAGGTCATCTACTCCTGGCTTCCCTAAGTGCTTTGGACAAGGGAGAACGCAGCATCCCAATATTTATCGATTCGGTTTGATGTCCAATGACACAAGAAACTGCTCTACAGCTCCAGAGGCGCACGATGGCATTTTTAAAGCATCCCAGTCAAGGCTACCAGCATGCTCCCATCCCCGCTGTCCCCTTGATACAACCCAGCGGAGCACCCACCTTGGAACAGCCCATCAGGCTAAAACTCACCGCAAAGCCACAGCTGGTCAGGATGGGTCCCCTGGCCCTCAGCCAGTCTCTGCCACGGCCTCAGGACCTGGCATCATCCAAAATCTCCTTCCAAAGGAAAGAGCAAGATCTGGCCCGATCCCATCGAGCTTCTTATGGGGTGCCCCCAAGCCCCGAATCCCAGCTGGGAGAGATGGGGCACAGCAGGGGATGTAGCCAGGTGCCACCAGTTCTTGCTCTGGTCACTGCTCCCTCCGGGGAGGTGACAGCCAGCAAGGAAGAGCCGTACACAAAGCAAGGTCAAAGTTGAGCTGCAAAGCCAGAACATCCTTTGGGATACGATGGGCTCCTCAGAAACAGAGCAACCGCACTTACAACTGTGTGGGAGGGGAAAGGAAACTTCCTCTGAAGTTCCTAGGATGCAGGAGAATTCATTTTCCCGTAAAAAATGAAAACCAAGCACCTGGGTTAGCCCAGGAGCGCTCTCCCATTGCTCCCAGTTGCTCTGTCAGTCGCTAAGCGGTGCCGGGACTGAGTGACATCTTGCAGCTGGGATTTTTGGGGGTGAAAAATGCAAATGTGGAAACGCTTCATGAATTTACACCAGTTTCACAGTGGTGCTGAGAAGAACTTAAAAAGGAAAAGGGTTTCAGAAGAAGCTGAGAAGGATTTGACTGAGCATTAACAAACCAAATTTCAACTGGCAGCTGAGAGCTGTTTTACAGCATGAGATTCTCTTTCACTTTAATTTTCAAGTTAAACAAATAAAAACCCTTCAAACTGAAGCAAAATGCAGAGGCTTAGGTTGAATCAAATGCTCTGCTCAGCTCAAAGTGAAACCTCTTGCAACAGCTGACATCCCTCCAAGAAATCAAGAGCTTTTTAATCTCTGTTCGTCCCAGCTAGATTTTCCCTCTCCCTTCCCACCCCAAACTGCTCACACCGGTGTGGTTTTTAGCCTGGGGTTAGTAGAGATGGTGGAGTCACTGGTGATGCTGAGACCCCATAGCAGGGCACAGGACCCAGGCATGCCGCAATGTGGAGGAAGAGAAAGAGCAATCGCAGCAGCCAAAATCAATCATTGTCCCTATAAACAGCTGCTTTTCTGCCCATCACCATGCCTCAGGGCTGCTGCCACCCAACATCCTCGCTCCAGCATCGCCCCAGGGCCTGAGTCCTCCGGCTCCTTTCCAGACCCACTCCTGCCCCATCGCTTCCCCAGGGACCACTCCAACCCTGGTGTCATCCCTCTTCCCATCAGTCATCCCCCAAATCGCTGACAGCCCCCCAAACCTCCATCACCAGCCTCTGCCGTGCCCAGGCACCATCCCACGCTTGCTCTCAGACCATCCCACAGCCCCCCAAAGCCCAGTGAACCCCACTGCAGAACCAGTTCCCATGGGAGACGGCTGTGCTGGTTAAGTCATTCCCAGAGCCGCGCTCTCCCAGCCGATAGGGATTACGGATCCCCCACCCCCCCCCCCCCCCCCCCCCCCACAGCCCTGCGGCACAGGCATGTGCGTGCGCATCGCCGGGTTACGCAAGGGCTGTGCGCAAGAGTGAGCAGCTCGCGAGCATCCCAGCGGATTATATCGGGGCTGGGAATGCCGGTGAGCAAAAAGGATGCGAGAGTAGCAGTGAGATGTGCCAGATTCGGTGCCTGTGCACTGTTGGCTGCTTTAATTTAGGGATATGTCACTCCCCAAGTCCCTCAAGACACCAAGAGACAGGTAGCAAGGCTTAAGGAGCTCAGTCTTGCAGCCGTGATGGTCCCAGGAACGTCTCTCAGCAGCCCAGGTTGTGATGGAGGGTGACACATTGGCCGTGGACTCTCTCCCAGCACCGGGGCAGGGACCGTGGGGATTCAAAGCCCCCAGATCTGCAAAGGGTGGAAACCTCTTGCTCTGCCCCATGGTTGGCAGGGGAAACTGGGACTGCGGACATGGATGCTGTCCCCGCTGGGGTGAACAGGGCGACGTGCAGCGTGGGACGGATGGGACAAGGGGTCGGAGGAGGCAGAGGAAGAGGGATCCCACGCTGAGGACAGTGATTGCCAGTGCTCAGCCCTCCTCACCCCACATTGCCTGCACGGCCCGCCCGGGGCTGGCCAAGCTGTACAGATTGTGCCTGCAATCAGGCTTTCATCCTGAAAGGCAAGGAGATTAAAAGAGAGAGAAAATCTGCTGGAGAGAGACAGGCAGCCCCCACCTCGGCCAGCCCGATGCAATCCATGGGTCAGCGGGTCAAAACGTGGTGGTGGATCCACTCCTGGGTACAGCACCAAGCTCCTGCCCATCCGTATCCCCTCAGGGTGCTCCTCTCCGAGCCCTCCATCCCCCCAGGAATGGCTGATCGGATCCTGTGCTGTGCGTCCCAGCAAGGATGTCAGGCCTGGAGCATCCCATGGCAAATAAAAAGGGACCAAGATAACTGTCCTCCCTTGGGGAAAAGCTGCAAAAAGGAGCATTTATCACCAAAAATAGCAACACCCCTGCAGCGAGACAGGACAGCAGTAAGGGTTAGCTGAGTACACAGGGCTGGAGGCACTTGCAAGCCTGATTTTGATGCCTTGGGAATCAAAAAATAGGAATAAATCACTCCAGCACCTGCCTGTAGCTACGTCCATCAGCCCTGGCTGTGCCAGACGTCTGCCCCAGCACTGCCACGTTGCTTCTGGGCCATTGGCAGGCACCAGGCATGTTTGGGGACCATGGGGACAAGTTGTCCCCAGCTCCCCGGCTGCAGCATCACACCATGGAGCGTGGTTTTGACCCCCATCCACAGCTACGCCATCGCCCTAAGTCCCAGCGAAGTGGCGACATTGATTTTCCTCTGCCCTGGCCACAGCCAGGAGTTTTCCAGGAGATGCAGAGACGCCCGCTCCCAGCTCCGATAAGCTCTCAAACTAAGCAGGGACACCTATAAACGGATTAGAAAGTGAAGGAGAGGTGCCTGATCTTCAATCAAAGGACGGATGATGAGACGTAGCCCTGGGAGTCCTCAGGAGCCCTGTGGGAAGCCCAGCACACTGGGAAGCGGCGAATTTGGATTAAAACCAAACCACCCAAAGCACGACTGGCTGGGCTCAGCCCCAAGCCTCAGGGCAGGAGGGAGCAGGGGGCATGGATGCGATTTTCACCGTCGGAGCAGGGAGGGAGACCCGGAGCACCACACAAGGTATTGAAATGGGGCGTTGTGGCTCAGGGCTCGGATCTTAGGCCAGCACCAGGCATGTTTGGGGTCTATCCCCCTTGTTATGTCAATGGGGAAGGCACAGGGAAGAGCTGGAGGGAGGCCAGACATCAGCTACATGGAGATGGCTGGGAAAGCAAGGAGAGGTTTAGGAAGCTCAGGGGAGAAGGCTTGTAGCACGAAAAAGCTGAAATGCAAAAGTCCCCAGCCCGGAGCCATCTTCTGCCTCTCCCCATGCCATCCGCAGCACAGACGAGGATGCAGTGAGATTGCACCAAAGCGAGCAAAACTCCCCCGTTTGTGGCAGGCGGACAGCTGTTGTTCCAACGCACCCCAGCCTCGGGAACAAACTGGCTCCAGTTGTGGGATTCATGGCATTTTAAAGCCCCTAAATGGAATGATTGCTCCTGAGAGGCCAGGCATGCGACAGAGGGTGATGTGGGAAGGATGCCCATGCTGGGAAATCAGCACTGCTGACTCAGCATGTGAGGGATGGAGCGCCATCCGTCCGTCTGTCCGCGCTGGGAGTTGGCAGACCCATCACCCCAGTTTCTCCTTGCTGTCCCAGGAATGGCGCAGAATTACGAGAAAGCCCTAAGTCACAGTCGAGGGGATAAACACAACCCCAGCAGTACGTAGCATGGGATTACAAAGATTAAATCCTGCCGGCTAAACCCAAGGCTTCGACCATCACCCACCCTCAGCGCCGGGCAGCGCAGTGGCAGGTCCTGGACCTCTCGGCTACAGTACTGTGATTCCGCAGGGATCATCCATGGGGAATTGGTGTTCTTCCTTCTCAACATGCAGTCATGATGTGTATTTCCATCCAGGATCGCTCGGGGAGGAGCACTGGGCAGCCGAGCAAGCAGGAATCCAACATTTCAGCACCTTGGTCTTGTCGGAGCGTGACCAGCTCCAACAGTTCAACACTGAGCCACCAGATCCCTCCATCCTTCCCCAAAATTTTGAGACATTTTAAAGGTCTTACCCAGCAGGTGTTTTCCCCCCTGCCTGGAGCTGCTGAGGTTCCTATTTTCATGCTGCTTTTTATAAGTGTTAACACCCGATATATTTTTAAGTCAAATGGGAGGAATTTGGGGTGATCATTCGATGCCAGGACCCTCCTCAGCACCTGGGGAACCTCCAGGGGAACTTGGGGAGCCCACCCCAAAAAGCCCACTTCTCAGCTCCCCAGGCAGTCCCAAGAGACAACAAAGACGCAGCGGAGCGGGGCCTGGAAGGAAGAACTGCGGGAGATTCCTGTGGCCATCACTAGCCCTTAAGCACAGCAGCCCCTCTGAAATTTGGGAGCCCGTTGTCCCCCTGACACAACTGGGGACAGGGACTCCTGCCAAACCCCCAAGCCCTGGCAGGACAAGGAGGAGTGTCATACTCCTGGTGCCATCCTGGTGCAGGACCCCACACCGGGAACACATCTGGATACAGCTGGAGCCCTGGCACCTACACCCAGGAGAGCAGAGGAGAAACGGAGCGGAGTGGCCGAGCAGGAGGGAAGCTGGCAGCCATGCCAGGGCCTTGGGGGGCTGCTGAGAGCACCCAGATCCCGGTCAGGGCTTGGTCCTCGGCCGTATGCCCCCTGCACAAGCAGGGAGGGTAGAGGGATTGGAGTTGAGAGCTTTCAGCCCGATTAAGTCGCATTCAGCGCTCCCACATGAATAAATAAATCATGTAAGAAGTATTAAGGCAGCTTAGTCTCCCCGGAAAATCACCGTGGAGTTCTGCCTTTTGGGGGCTGAGGGATGCCCCCATGGATTAGCGGGGGGGGGGACACAGTTTGGCTACATGGCAACCAAACCCCACCCGGGCAAGGGGGAGTGGGAGCTACAGGCAGGAGCATCCCTGGAGCATCCCTCTCTGCCCCATGCAGGGGTTTGCCCCAGACAAGCACATTCCCTGCTTGCCCCACTGATGGCTCTGCTGGCACTCTGGATCCCGTGCCGGCACTCTGGATCCCGTGCCAACACAGCCACAGCCACTGTGCCCTGAAAGGACGCAGAGTGTCACATCCCCCAGCCACCATCCACCCCAACCTCCCCAGGCAGCACGTCCTCCGCACCGCCAGAGCTTGGCTCTGCGGTGACGCTGGGGAAGGACTCTCGGCCTCACGGGTGGCCACCGATGAGCCTGGGTACCCAAGCCTACCCCCAGAAAAAGGCTTTCTTCAAGCAATCCAGCTTGAATCCCATCCCAATGGGATCTGACACATTGCAGTAAGCTCCTGGGCAAAAGGGCTCACAGAGAAGGAGGAAGAGGATGGGACAGACCTGTGGAATGCCCCCACCCAGTGCCCTGGGGAAGAGACCCACCACGTCCCGCTTACCTGGTACATGCACATGCTGGGATTAATCCCATTGGGCAGGTGAGCACCTTTGGGTTTGCTCCCCGTGTTCATGCCGAGCCTTCATCTCCCACGAGAGCGGCCGGTGCAGCCCTCAAGGCAAGCGGCACAGTGGGCATCGGTGCCTGCCGTACCCAGGCGCAGGGTCCCTCTACCCACGCAGGGACAAGCAGGGCAGTGGGAGGCAACGAGAACTCGGGGAAATTCCCCATCTGCCGCCTGCCCTAATCACATCCCTCGCTGCCGTGCAGGGAGCCGGAGGCAGCCCCGGTTGGAGCAGGGCACCCAGAGGGTTCGTGGGTGCAGCGCTGCCTGTGAGTCCCTTTGCGCTGACCCAGTTTGCTCCGTCCGCACGCTGCCCGTGTCGAGGCACTGAGGACCCTTTATTGGAGCAGGAGCGGAGACTAAATCCGCGTGGTCCCTTAATCCGAGGCGGCTGCGGCAGGGGGGGCAGCGGGCGGTCAGGG